GCTCATAAAAATTTCTTCTAAAAAAAAAAGAAAGTATGGTACCATTTGACAAAAAACAAAGAATAAGGAGAAAATATAAAAATGAGGTGCCAGGGAAGCTCACATTGCCAGTGGACTCTAAATTAAGACAGATGTTAGAAAAGCAACGCCAGTCATGCATGTTGACACATTCCTGCAATCCAGCGCTCAAGACTCCAGAGCCTGAGTCACACATGGTACCACATGCCTGATATCCAGCAATCAGGAGTCTGTGGCAAAGGGCAAAGTGATCTCCAGTCTCAAAAGCAAACACAAGAAAGCCAACACAGGTGAAGAGTATATGTGTGTCCTATGACTAAGAGTCCCAGCCCCAGGTGATTCCTCAGCCACATGCCTCTGGAAACATAAGGAAGTTTGATTTTAAGAATCAAAATGTGGGAACTACAAATAAAGTCTGTGGATGAACAACTCATGGCATTTTGTCACACAGAGAGATAACTGTGGCTGACTAAAATTTGGCTGCTTCAAAGCTAAGAAGCCTTTGCAAAGAAATGGTATTTGTCTGTAGTGAAGGACAGGCCATTAGCCTGATCAGATCAACGTGTGCTGGATTGAACATGTGCAATTACTCACACAGAAAAGAAGAGAAAAATGTTTGGGAAGCATACAGCCTTGTGCTAGTTTGAGTATTATGTAACTTACCAAATATTACGGTAGTACACTCATAGGAAGGCGAAGAATAAACGGCATTGCTGGGTTGTAGCAAGGTTTCTTCTGAAACGTTTGCTACGATGCTGCTGTCCAACTGCCCATCTGCCCCCTCTGTCTGTAAAAGTCACAGTGGAGCCAAGTGCTTCCCTCATGATAACTCTCAGTTGCATGGCTACCTGGCAATTCCTGAATTGTTTACCTATAGCTCAGGGAGAAAGGCACTGTCCCGCCATGGTCTTCTTATTAGAACACGTGTGAGTCCTTGATTTTGATGTAGGAAACTGAATGTTAGTTGAGAAAGAATTAGATGAAGCAAAGGCTGCCAGTATTGTTTTTTGTTTACCACAGAGACACTGTTTAAGTAAAAATGAGAAATCAATATTTTCAATTTTATTTTTTGCAGAGCAAAAATGAGCAAATTACAGTGCGGCATCTGACATCAGGAAACTGGGAAGTGATACGGATCTTGGCCTATGATGAAACAACTCAAAAAATGTGATTGTTTTTGCTTCTCTACATGGCTGCCATCAGCATTGTCAAGTGTAATCTTTTATATTATAAGAGAATAATTTTCTTACCAAAGCTCTTGGTCAAATAAGTTACTCATGTAGCAGTGACCCTCTCTTTGAAAGCATTTTTTTTTTTTTTTGGAGCTGGACAGCAGACTGTTCTTGCAGAGGACCCAGGTTCAGTTCCCAGCACCCATATTGGGAGACTCACAACTTCTCATAATTCTTGCTCCAGGGGAACCTGCTACCCTCTGCTGGCCTCTGCCTCCTCCACTTGCATGCACATATGAATAGAAATACACATATGATCAGATATACACATATGAACAGATATATACATATGAATAGAAATACAGATATGAACAGATACACACATATGAACAGATATACACGTATGAACAGAAATACACATATGAATAGAAATGCACATATGAACAGATACACGTAAATACAAATAAATCTTAAAACTATTATCTTTGCTTCGTTCACAGACACTGCACACAGACCCAGTACTATCACATACTCTTCAGACTTCGGGAAAGATTATGAAGTAGAGTGATTATTTTACAAAACAAGACACATACATTTCCCAGTTGGAACAAATTCCCATGACTGAATAACAAAACAGATCTTGCCTGTCTTTTTGACGGGTTAGAAAATTCAAGTGAAAAACTAAGGTTGACAAAAATACATATACCTCTAATGTCCTTGCTATTTTTTTTCCCCCAACAGTTACTTTGTGAGCACAGAGTTTTCTCCCCGAGGGAGGCAGCTGTACAGGTAGGTGGTGTGAACTCTTTTTCCCTAGGTTGACTTTTCAGAGGCCATGAACACAAGACAACAGAGGTGTGGGGAAAGCTCAGCTCATTTTCCATATGGCAAGGGAACAACCAGCCTCCCACATGACACCCCTACTCTCTTGTTCATGTGTCTTAGGCATAGACCTTAGCAGGTATAGGGAGCTACAGATGGATTAGGATTTTTTGTCTTGCTGTTTACATATGTGGGTTTTTATTTTGTTTTGTCTTGTTTTGCTGATGACAAAAAAAAAAAATGACAAAGCTCTCACTTCAGAGAGAATAAAAAACAGTATACTCCAGAACCAGAGTAAGTGACCATGACAAGGGAACATAGATTCAGGTCACATCAAATACTTTGTTCCAAGTAGGGTACCAGTGTCAAAGAGCTTTTATAGTAATATGGCATAGAAGTCATGAATTATGATACTTTTTAAGTATATTGGTGAGAACTTCAGTAGATAATTTACAGTAAGCCTTCCAAATCTGTGCTATATGTTGAACTCAGGTTCTTTCTTGTAAATTTAGTTCATACTAAAACACAGCAAGGAAGACATTAAAAACCTGGGTTAATTTTTAATATGGCCAATCTCTACAAGACAGAACCTTACACTTTTACTCTGGTCCTTTGGCTGTGACCGTCTGGAAGCCTGGGGGATTATGTCCAGACTAGAGATTTCTATTTCACTTCTTCATTTTATTTTTTCATGTTTATAGTTTCACACTACTCTTTGTGCATGTGTGTGTGTGTCTTTTCTTACTTCCCTACATTACAGACATTTACATATTTTTCTAGCAATCTTTCCTTCTGCTCCATATCAAGTTGAGTTTTCTGTAATCAATCAATGTGACATTAATATAATTTATTCCTATATAACATAATAGCATGATGGAAGGGACTTTTAATACAAATCCAAGCAAGCAATAACTTCTTTCTGTCTCTTTTTCTTATTATTTTGTGTTTGCTCCTGTGTTGAGGGTCATAAAATTAAATAAGATTGCTGGAGAAGGTTGTCTTATCTGAGTCTAGAATATTCTTTACTTAAACAAAATGAAGCAATACATATGTGAATATTCACATCTGCCCAGCATCCCCAAATGTGAAACTAAATACATCAAGGTCTTAAGAGTTCAGCCAGTCAGCATTAAAATATCTTCTCATTCTACCAGCTCTCAGCAGGACCTACAAGAAGAACGTTTTATTTGGAGCAGGCAAAGGGTCTATTATTTTCAGATTCTACATGCACTTTCTCATTTCCATTTCACACACCTATTTTAAACACGTCAAGGCTGCATGGTTATTCTCAGTGGAAATTCACCCTGTTTGAAGAAGTTTCACCTCTTCTTCTTACCAAGTCACCTAGCTTTCTTTTAAGGGTAAAAATGTATATGAAGTACAGGGGATAGAGTGCTCACTGAAAGCAGGGTAATTGGAGTTTGGATTTCTAACTATGCAAAACCTGGTTAGAGGAAAATCCAGTGTTTGAGAGGAGAAGACATTGGGCCCCCAGAACAAGCCAGCTTGCTAGACTAGCCAGAATAGACAAGCTCTTAGTTCATAGAGAGACTGTGTCCAATTAAATAGAGTGGGGGAACACTTGAGGGAGTAATTCACATTAACCTTTGGCCACCACAAAAATGGATATGCACAGGAACACACACGCTGGAGAATGGTACCCCTCACATTCAACGTGAGTCTTTTCATACGAATTAACACAACTAAGGAAATCTCACAAAGACATGTTCATAGGACAATCAAATCCAGATAATTCATCATTATGACTCTAGAATGTGAATTTAGCAGTAAAAACTAACCCTCACAACTATGAACAATGTTTTAGAGATGTAGAAATACTTGATCATATTTTATTCTTTTCATTAAAAAAGACACAAAAAGAAATGTCTATTGGAGACAAATCCTGGTCAGGGTCATTGGATGAAAGACTTGAGGCTATTTGCTCTGATTAGTCTCTAAATGTGACTAGAAGCATATCAACTGCTTAGATCTGAGTGGTTACTGGCATCATGACTGGGTCTATGCAGTCAATGGTTCATGACTTGACTAGTGCAGTGGACCGTCCTATAAAGAGAATATCTTGCTAATATGTGTCCTCTTCCACAACTCATTAAGTGCCAGTTGACTTGACAGGAAGATGTAGTTTGACCCAGAAAACTCAATCATCATCTTGCTTGAGCTGTAAAAATGCCCTGTGCTTGATTTAATGTGTGGAAGAGTCAGAACAGTTACCAAACCCAGTGTTTATATTTTTGTCTAAAAGCACTCTATTTTTTTTGTTTGTTTGTTTCAGGAATGTCATAAACAGAGTAGTGTAAAGGGTGGCTGGGGACATAACGGGTAAAGAGCTTGCTGTACAAGCATGAGGATCTGAGTTCTGATCCCCAACCCTTATGTAAAAAGTGGTGTATGTCTGTAATCACAGTGATGGATAAATGGAAACACAGGAGGATCCCTAGAGCTGTGAGTCAGCCAGTAGAGCTGAAATGGCCAGCTTTGGGTTCTGTGAAAAACTCTGTCCCAAAAAAACTAAAGTGTGGAGAAATAGCAGGTGACACCAAAGGTCAGCATTTGGGCCCTGCATATAGCACACACGAGAGTATTCCTGAGCACAAATGCATATCACACATATATACACACTAAATAGATAAGTCCTAAATACCAAGGGTAATCTCTAGAGAGTGTAGATGTGAAAACAACTTTATGGAAGAGGACAGAGAAAGGCTTCAAATCTTAGTGTTACCACTGATAAGATATATGTAACTCAGAAACTTGCTCATTTTCTTTGGAATAATAGTTCAACATCATTGTAGATGTATTTAGAATAACTGAATTTATCCCTAAAAAATTGTTTAAATGGAAAAATTCATGACCATAGTTCAAATAAAATTATGATTATCTCACAAGTCATTGAAGGATGAATTTTTAAATGCCTAATATGTCTGTGGATTGTAATGATCTCACAGCATTTCAAGTATAAAGTTGTAGCTCTGAGAGGAGGAAATAATACTAAGCCTGGGCTCCTTTTCCCACCCTTGCATCCATTCTAACACCTCTTCTCTTTTTCCTAGCGTTGTCATACAGTACACATCAACGTTAACATTCTTATTCACACATGCATGTTTGTGTCTGAAATTGTGAACCATTCTAAAATGTGGTTGAGAACACTTTGTTCAAATAAGCTTTTTGAAGTTTTTGCTTGCTGTATATTAATTATGCATAATACTAATACTGTCCTTCTGACAGTATGACATTATCATACATGCATGCATTTTGATCATATTCACTTAGGGTCTTATTCCTCTTCTCAAGTCTCCTTTCTGCTGTGTGTGTGTGTGTGTGTGAGAGAGAGAGAGAGAGAGAGAGAGACAGAGACAGAGACAGAGACAGAGACAGAGAGACAGAGACAGAGAGAGGAGAGAGAGAGATTTGTTAAGCTTATTTAGAGGAACACGGACACCTGGTCAGTGGCTAAACCGCACAAGAAAATGTCTCTCCTTCCCTCAGGAGCCATTAGTTTCCCAGACTTCCTAAAGACATCTATTATGAGTTCTCTTCTCTATTTTGGCGTTTGACGGGGAGAGTGGAGAAAGCATATGTTTTCATCTGCTGATTAGATTAATATTGCACTTGGAACTATTTATAAGATAAAAAGTATTGATATGTGGTTTAATCTTAAATAAACTGGTCATAACTTCTGACCTAAAGCAACATTATCATAAAATAAGACAAAAAGCTCCCCATTGGTGTCGTATGTCAGTAATGTTTCATGTATTATCAAACACAATTGTAGCTTCTTTAGTTAAGATTCCAGGGCTTAAAATTTAAGATGCTGAATTATAATGTTTAGAGTTTTGAAGTTATAAAATTATGGGCTTCATTTGGGAAAATTGTAGAAATATTTATTCATCTTTTGGCTGCTATTTGTTGAAGACTGCTTTATCTGTGCTTCTATGAGGAAGTTCTGTGTTTTATTCTGTACATAGAAATATCTATGAAGAAATCTTAGGGGCTGGAGATAGCTTAGTAGTTAAAGTCTGTAATGCACTTACAGAGGACCACAGTTCTGTTCCCAGAGCCCAGATACCCTCTTCTGTCTTCCTCAGGTATTCACACATACATGCACACACATAATTATACATGTAAGTGAAAATGAAATAAATATTAACAGGGAAAATAGAATTAACAATAAATTATAGGGAATACTGTGTAGATCAGTGAATTTATTAATAGTTATATACACCTACAACTTATATGTACATTTCATAATTTTAATGTTATTCCCAGAAGAAAAATATATATATGTCATAACTTTAAACATGGAAATTGATCTTGTATGTTTTGAATGATTCACAAGTTAGAAGGTATTTCCATAGAAGAAGTAAGGAAACTTTCCGGTTTGACTATATTTTAATGTTGATGCCATGAAGTTCAAGTGGCTGTATTAACAATTTTATCATTTTTGTTTTATTTTTTCAGTGCTTCTACCGAGGGACCGTTGAATCGTGATTGCATCTCATGCAACTTTATGAAAGATGATTGCACATATTTTGATGCCAGCTTCAGTCCCATGAACCAACATTTCTTGTTATTCTGTGAAGGTTAGATAGCATATGCTTTTCTGTAGGATCCCTTCCATCTACTTGGTTTGACACGTTTCATTGTTAGTAGGTATTTATAAATTTGATAATTGCTGAGATTCCATGCTTATTCCACTGTTTCACTTAGAGAAGGCCAGAAGAGGACTACAGATTTCATGGAACTGGAGTCAGTGGTTGTGAGTTACTAAAGTTGAGAACTGGAAACTGAATCTCGGTTCTTTCCAAGGACAATATATGCCCTTAACTACTGAGTCATCTCTCCAATCCCCTCAAACAGAAATCCTTTGGAATTATGGTGGATGTACAGTCTATAGGGACATCTGAACTTGGGGAATCTAAAGAGATAGACAATTATTTTGACAAAATCACAGTGCAATAATAATCTGTCTTTAAAGAAAAACAACAGCTTTCCTCCTAATGAGCAATTTTAAGGTTAAGAGAATTAGGATAAATATGGACAAAGGAGCCAACTCCATGGGTAAAATGTTTTCCTTTTGAGAACAAGGACCTGAATTTGGTCCTCAGAAGTCACGTAAAAAATCGTGTCGAGTATGATGGCATGCACTTGCAATTCCAGTGCTAGGAAAGAGAGGCAAGGGATACCTGGAGCTGGCTGGTATTCAGCCTCACCTACTTGACAATTTCCATGGTGGTGAGAGACACTCTCTCAAGAAAATAAAAAGTGAATGGCTACTGAAGAGGTATGCTCGAGGTTGTCTTTTGATCTCTCCCTGCGCACACGTTAATGGATCTGCTCACACAGTGCATACAAGGATTTGGGAATTGATAGGAACTCACCTCCTCTGCTCTCTCTCATTTGGTGCTGAGCATTGGTTTCCACCCTGTTTTCTTTCTTTCATCTTATGTTATCATGCTATAGTCTTTCATGGATATGTTTAGGGAAATCTTTCATGGAAGCATTAAAAAGACTCCTTTTTTTCTTTATTATGAAACTATATTTCTCAGATATGAAATGGAATTCATGCATCCCCTTGAAATGCAATTAATAGCATAAATTACTTATTTTGTTTCTGTTTTTATTGTATTTTAGATGTAAAATATTTCCATGTGGAAAAAGGAACTCTGCCACGTAGTCTTCATGATAGCATGAGTTAGTTAGGCGTCTTATTATATTAACTTAATTGCTTGTGTATGTGTGTATCATGTATGTGTACATACTATGAGACATATGTGGAGGTCAGAGGAAAGCTTATGGGAGTCAGTTCTCTCCTTCAATCATTGTCTTGACAGCAAGAACCTTTGCCCATTTGGCCATCTTTCCAGTCACCTTACATGTCTTTAAAAACCTATATATGTATGTTTTTAAATTCCAGGTCCAAGGGTCCCAGTGGTCAGTCTCCACAGTACAGACAACCCATCAAGTGAGTACCAAAAAAAAAAAAAAAAAAAAAAAAAACAGTTTGGAAAATTAAGTTTGGCCTTGATCATAGGCAAAGTTTTGTTTTTGTTTTGTTTTGTTTTAATTCTGGGTGTCATGCACTCTAGGACATTCTTCAACAGGATCCTTTGCATAAATAATGCTTTTTGAGGCCTTCAAGATGATTTTATTTATGTTAATAAAACAGAAGTAGTAGTGGTTTGATTTGATCATGTTACTGTTTATGTTAGATCTTGACACCTTCTTTACCTACACCCAATAAAGATTGACAGTTATGTGGGTTCTCACCCTCTTGCCTCTGAGATTTTGGATCATTTTTGAGCCCCTTGTAGGTTATGTCCCATCCCATACCTTTTAACATATCTTTTTATATTGAAAACATTATTTGCTTATTTGTCTTGGGGGTAGGGCACATGAGTTTCCCTCTTTTCTGGGAAGAAAAAACATGTTTAATCTTTTGCTTAATGTAATATGAAGCACAGAGATAGTCATAACATATTTGGAAAATTATAAAATATTTTATGTGGTTTATTTATCTTATTTGTATGAAATATGCAGATACCATTATATAAATTCACATATATTTACGTGTGAATATTCTTGGTTATTCATTTATATATCCACCCAACTTTTTTTTTATTGGCCACCCATGTTATCAAATAATGCAGGAGAGGCTAGGGTTTCACTAATAAGATGGTTGTATACTAAANTTCAAGACAGGGTTTCTCTGTGGCTTTGGAGCCTGTCCTGGAACTAGCTCTGTAGACCAGGCTGGTCTCGAACTCACAGAAATCCGCCTGCCTCTGCCTCCCAAGTGCTGGGATTAAAGGCAAGCGCCACCATCGCCCGGCTAGTAAGAGATATGATTAAGTCAATCTTTTTGTTTACAAATTTATTGATTCATTTTTATTTTATGTGTATGTATGTGTTTTGTATATCTAGTGTATGCACTTACAGTATATGAGTTCATAAGTACCCATGCAGGCTAAGAGAAGGCATTAGATCTCCTAGAACAGGGTTTACAGTCAGTTGTGAGCTGTCCAGTGTGAGTATTAGGAAGAAAATGCAGATCCTCTTTAAGATCAGTATGCACTCTTAACTGATGAATCATCTTTCCATCTACCAGTTGAGCTGATCGTAGAATGAATTCCTATATTATATTCCTTTTCATCCCTGTCTCCCATCTTCATTTTCTTCTTTTGCTTTCTATATTTACAAAGTCAGAATTCTTATGCTCTAATTATTTATCATATTATGAATAGTCTAATTTTATTTATGTCGATGTGAATGTACGCCAGGTGTGTTCGACTGCCAGTGGAGGCCAGAAGAGGGACCCAGATCCTCTAGAAGTGGAATTACAGGGGTGGGGAGGTCATGAACTACATGATGTGGGTATTGGGAATTGAACTCAAGTCTTCTTCATAAACAGTGCTCATTCTTGATCACTGTGCATCTCTTCCGCACCATATGCAATATTATCTTAACAGTAAATGTTCAAGTCGGAGAATCTCCATGAGATAATCTTTTATTATTTTCCTTTACATATAAAGAAACTGAGTCAAAGAGAGATTAAAAGGACTTAGATAGAGCTATGTTAATACTTAATAAAACCAGAAATCAAATGAAGGAGTCTGAGCTTAGAATATTTTTCTGTCATGCTTTTGTCCTGAGTCACATTTCTGAAATAGCAATCATCATTAGATGGGGCTGCAGATGTAAATGTGTAAATGTGACATGTGCCATTCCAAGGAAAGAAAGATGTAACATATAGAGACTTATCACCTCTTCCCACAAAGATAGATCCTGAATTTCTTCTATGGCTGAAAAATAATTCAGCATTTTTTCCAATTTTTCTTTGCTCCTTTTTCCTCATCTTCAAAATATGTCTTAAAAGAGATGTGATAAATAATTGAATCTGCTCACTACTCATAGCAAAGATAATTATTTTTTGACAGTGAGAATCTTTTTACATCTGCATATACATAGGGTCATTTGCAGTGTGTGTAAGAGTCAAGGTATTATATACTGAATTAAATTGAAATCACCTTACTGTTTTGATTAAATTCTATAATATGCATAATTCATTGAAATAGCACATGTCTAAAAGCAGCCCATGCCTACATTTAATGTTAAACATTTCAGTAATCAGATCATCAGTTTTGGAGAACCTACTTAAAAATGCAGCATCCAAGCAGAGATAGTTAGAGCAACTTCAGGAGAGTTAACAAAACAGCAAGAAGCTTTAATTTTACAGATACAACATCATTGTATGAAATGACTCCATCATCACCTTCTGAGAGCAGAAACACGGAAGTTAATAGTCAATAGTGAGGGTCATGTTCCTTGGAGCAAAAGGGCAAAAACACAACAGGAGATAGATATGACCTATGACATCTGATAGTTGACATTGGGGTCACATTGCATATCTGACCTCTGTCAAAAAGTGAATCAAAGAACATTCTTGATGAGATATGGATTTAATTTTGTCCCACTGTTACAAAGCTATGTTTTATAGCATTATTGACAATTACAGAACATTTCTCCTGAAAAGTTACTAAATATTTCTAGTATTGCACCAAAAAGTCAACTTTGCCTCATGGTCAAGACGTATAATTTTTAGTTGGCTGAGTGGACAGAGGTCATATGCTTCCTTTTCTATTAACAGACAATTATTAGGAACACAAAGTTTGTATTTAATGACAAGTGAGACTGGGAGTTGAAAAAATAAAAGCATATATGAGACAGTCTCAACTGATCTCTGGGCCTCATGCAGTAAAATATGGCATGAGGGAAAAAATTGGGAAAAGAAAAATAAGACTACTTAACTGACATGGAAAGCAATAGAAAACAGAGTAAATGAAATATCATTCGATATCTTTCCTAACAAATTAATAACACAAAACCTTTTTTTAGTGACTAGAGGAAGAGGATCTCATAGTTTTCCACTAGGAATATAAAGAGCAATGAACATTTAGGAACATAACAAAATCAGCAGCCTCCAAATTTTATATTTTCATTTTTCTTTTGTTAATTAAAGCTAAATAAGTAAATCTGAATATAAATTTGTAAAACAAATATATATATATGATCATAAATTGCATAAAATTTTGAGAAAATGGAACTAAAGTTTTAGAATACCTTCCTAGCATACACAAAATCCCAAGTACAATCACTGGCACTCCATAACATGGATGTAGTGATTCATTCCTCTGATCCCAGCCCTCCAGAAGTATAGGCAAGATTATCACAAGTAGTCATCCTTAGTTACATAATGGGTTCAAGGTTAACCTGGGATGGTGAGATTCTATTCCAAAAACAACACAAAAACAAAACACAAGGTATTTTGGATATTGTCTGAATTCAGATATTCAGACAATTTACATTTATCTTACATTTCTATGGGAAACTTTCAGGTAATTTTGTTGTTTCTGTTTTAATATTTTCCAAATGCTCTATCCTGATCATACATTCCATGTATAATAACAGAGAAACCCTTTATCTATGGACTTGAGATGTGGCATAAATACCACATTTCTACATGGCTAATGTCTGAAACACCCTTTCTTCCATTGACCCCCATATTTATCCAGATGTATTACAGTGAAAAAAGTGTGCAGAGGATCACTGTTTGAAAGGTTTGTGGTACAAGGACAGGTGCACCCCAGAGCTCAGCCTTGGGGTGTGCAGTTTTTGTTTTCAATTACTGGGACAAGCAGTGAATCCCAAAGAAGGGCCAGGGAAAAGGGCAGCTGTCTGTCTGTCTGTGTATTTCCTCTGCTTACACTACTAATAACATCCTGCTATTGACACTTCCCTCTTGAATGCCATTTTCTGTCTTGTGAATACCATTAATGTGTGATTTTGGGTGGCTCAGCTCGCCATAATTTTAGTAGATAAATAATGAGAAATAATGAGGCCAGGTTTCCTGTCACTTCCTTTGCCCTCACCACCTGTTCCTTGCCTGCTTTTAGGTATGTCTGTTTCTTTTACTTGTCTCTTTCTTTCCAGCCTCAGCTTTGCCTTGCCTTTCATTTGCCTTGCATCTCTTTCCATTGCTTCCTTTTTATTCTTTTCTCAATTCTTATCTCCCTTTTCATTTCCTGCAAAATTTCTGTTCTTATTATTTTCTCTTTGCTTCCTTATCTCCACATTAGTTGGATGTCTTAGTATTACCCCATCTTTAAATCACTTGTCAAAAACAAGTCATTTTTGCTAAACTTATTTTCTAAATTTATTGTAATTTATGGTGTTTCAATACTATTTTGAAATGTTTTAAATCTTTCTTAAATTTGTTTTTTTAACTACAATTTAGTTCTCTGTGCTCATAGGGAAACATTTATTTCATGAGTAAATTAATTCAATTTAATTTAATAGAAAAATTCCAACTGCTATTAGAGTGATATAATTAGTTTACTTGTAATTATGTTTTTCCCCACTGGTAATTTATAATAAGCTATATGAAATTACTACTATAATACTCCCACATTGGTCCCTCTAGATGTTCTTATTCATTTACTAAATTATTAATTGAAGTACAATAAATTAGTGCACCTTTATAAAACGAACTATTAAATATGATATGTATTTAGAGTTATAAAGACAAAAATTTAACAAACTTTAGTGTTGTGTCATTTGTACTAACATTGTCAAGTGACACTGGAACCTTGTACGTGCAAAAAGTGTCTGTTTTTATCTATTCATTGTGCTTTTATATTAGTGTTTGGAGTACAAATAGTTAATGATAATGGACTACAGAAAATAAGAATTTAAATTTTTAGGTCCAGTGAAACTGTTGAGTGGGTAAAAGTGCTCGCTGCCAAACTTAAAAGTTTTATACCCAGACATACAAGAGGGAAGGAAAGGACTCCCAAAAGTTGTCCTCTGACCTCCACGTATGTGCCTTGTTATGCACATGGCTACACACAAGGGCCACTAAATATCTAAAGAAAAATGTGATTAACTTTTTGTAACATAAATTTACACTTTAAAATATTTTCTGTGGAAAATTTTTGATTGTTCCTTTGAAAATGTTTCAGCATTTTCAACAACATTAAATAATGTTGCTGAATTTTAGGAAGGTCAGATAGCACATTCTCCACAATTTTTGTTACTGAGGAAAATATTTTAGAAGCAGAAATTTGTTGTGAATGGGATCATACATATAAATCGTAATTAAATCAGATATACAAAAATGTTGTGGGATATTTGTTTTCACTGATACTCTGAGACTGCTATTAAATTGAACCTCGAATCAAGGAGCAGAATCCATGACTGGTTGATCAGATGAGCTATAGGGAATTTGGAGGGCCAGATAGAGAGGTACAGAATAGATAACGATGGGCTTAGGGAGATTTCTTGGTCTTTTTGATCTGGAACGGTAACAAGAAAGAGTCATCCCATAGTTTCTCCACTGCTTTCTACCTATCTATCAGGTTTGCACCCCAATATTGACTCCTAAGGTTTTATTAATTATATAATGACTTAGATAAATATATCACAGAAATGAATTGCTTCTGGTAGAATGTGACGATTTCTCTTGATTTCTGATCCTGAGGATGGAGCCGAGCAAAATAACACACACACATGCCGTGTGTGAGACCCTGTGCTCCATCTCCAGAAAAAGCAAACAGTGCCAGCATAATAAGTAGATAATTAAAATATAGGAAATGCATTTGGTCAGTAGAACAGATGGGATTTGATTTTATAAAGGAAATTAATAAACACAAAACATTTTAAATGAAAACAAAATTCAGAGTGGATATTATTAAGATAAATATTAAAATTTGAGAATTTGCAATATTAACAAAACAGAAAGAAAGAAACTCTTCCAGAACAACATAAAAATAAGTGAAATCAGTCATTGAACCTCTGTTGGTGATAGACTCTGTCTCTGTTTCTAATCAGAAAGGCAGCAGGACTTGTGAAAGAAGATTACAAAATTATAGTCAGGAATCTCCAATAAAAAAAATCACTAAAAATCCAAAATGAATAAAACTCCAAACCATACTGATGAACAGAAAAATCAAATGCAGAAAGTCTGTGATATGGGAGAAAAGGTCACCAGCAATAGAAAAGGGTTAGATTCACCCCATTTCACATAACAATGATAAAATGATGTAACTACATGTATCTTATCAGACAAGAAGTAACCCAAATACCATGGAACCATATATTTAAAATGCAAAGAGAAAATAAAAGCATTTACTTGTGTATTCCACAAAATGCTTAATGAATGTACCATGACATTTAGACAAGCTATTCCAGGAAACAGACCTAGGCATGCATATTAGTATACACATCTAATCCTAGCATTTGGGAGGCAGAAGTAGAATAATATCAGATTGAAGATTAACTCAGATTGAAAAAAGTGTCCAAATTCATCATGGGCACCCTATCTAAGGAAGGAAGAAAACCTATACCATCTATTATTTATATTCCAAATTCAGAACTAAAGTAAAATTTACCTCTTTACCTAGGTGAAAAAATTCAGTTGGTGAAGGGTTTCCCTTGCTAGTACAAGTCCCCAGAATTGTCTTAAGAAAAGCTGTTCACTGTGGGGTCACACTTAGTCTCAGTCTGTGGAGTTGGAGACTGGAGGAGCCTCTGTGTCAGTAAGCCACCCTGTGGACCATAAGAGACCCTGACTCAGACAACAACACAAAGATGGACTGCACCCGGGAATAGATATGGAGCTGTTCTGTGGCTTCTACAAGATGATTATTGCACCTCCTCACACACACATACACACACACACACACACACACACACGAATAAAAAAAAGAACTAAAAGAAAATAAAAAGTTTCTCAGGAATTTAGATATGAACCTAGTTTACCAGATATTGCATTTAATAATTTATTAAAAGACTAATATGTTTACTAACATTATACAATGTTTGCTCATTCCATGTTGCTGAAATACCGCCAATCAATGTGACTCACCATATCTCTATGAGAACCACAAATGATTTAGAAAACTAACATTTGATAAATTTGACAAACATTTAACAATACAATCATAGAAATTTCAAATCAGCACTACAAAATATGTAAAGAGAATTACTGAATTTGATGATGATCTCCACAAAAATAGTATAGCTGGCATTATGAGTAACAGATGAGAGACAGATGCTTCTGTATGATCAAGGAAGGCAAGCTAGCTTCCTACAACCCTTTCTCTACAATACTCTGAGTACTCAGCCAGGACATAGACAAGAATAATAATAGCACCTGTCTTTATACTTTATTCACAGAAGACATAGTTATATACAAGAAGATATTTGATTTGTTTGTTTTTGGTTTTTGAGACAAAGTTTCTCTGTATAACTATGGTGCCTCTCCTAGAACTTGTTCTATAGACTAGGCTGGCCTCAAACTCACAGAGATCCCCCTTCCTCTGCATCCTGAGTGCTGGGATTAAAAGGGCATGTTCCACCACTGCCCAGCTACAAGAAGATTTTTAAAAATAAGCAAAAATTTATAGAACACAAAGCAAACTGTTAAGATGAACAAATCTACCATGCACACATACACACATAACTATAACTAAGTATGTTTTTTTTCAAATACCTTACAAAACACAATGAAGATTTAAAGTCATTTCAAATACCCTAGGAATGAATCTAGTTAATAAAAAAACATAAAACATGACCCCTAAAATAAAATCTATGGTATGTGTCTGAGAAATATCAAAGACTCAAATGTACACATAAATGCACACACACACATTTAAGGATCACTTATTTCACTATCTAAAGTTTCCCCCAATTTTTTTTTTTTTTTTTTTTTTGGTTTTTGGAGACAGGGTTTCTCTGTGTAACAGTCATGGCTGTCCTGGAATTAGTTCTGTAGACCTTGCTGGCCTCAAGCTCACAGAAATCGGCCTGCTTCTGCCCCTGAGTCCTGGGATTAAAGGCGTTGGCCACCACTGCTTGGCCTGAGTGTATTTTTATATTTCACAAAAAGTAAGTAAAATCTAGCAAGTTATTTATATGCTTTTCATGGTGCATCAACATAAAAAATTGCATTTATTTACTATTGTGTGGCATCCTCATGTCACAGCACATATGAACAGGTCAGGAGAAAACTTGCCCTCCTTTTCAACCACAAAGGACCTTGGAATCAGTCTTCTTTACTAAGGCTTGGGGATACATGCTTTTATCCGCTGAGTCATATCCCAAGACTGTCAGTTAAATTTTTAAAATTTTGACTGATTGTTAGTATTTTGTTACATTTCCAGTTCATCAGTGTGTTCTGCAGCATCTAATATTCTATAGATTCTGTAGGTCTCACTTGGAAATTTTTCCTCTTAGACTATAATTATCACATATCTCATATTTTGCATGTTTCGTTTTTGGCATATAATTTTGTGCTTTTTCCAGCATATTGAACAATTGGGCTATAATTTTAACATTCTCATCTGAGACTGATGCTTTTTAGGTCATTTCTGGGTTGTTTCCTACTATTTTGCTATCTTCCTGAGTTTTTATAGTGGTATCCAAATTATTGAAATTTTAACTCATTTACTGCTAGATAGCTTTGCAGTCTTTTAAATATTCTAAAGGAGAGTAGTAGCATGATTATACTTTTATTTTGAAATGTAAATGGTAACTCCAATGTATTGGAGCAAATGGATGGAAAGTCACTAGTATGAACAAGTTCAGTTGGAAGACCCCTGTAGTGATTTAGAAGACAGACTAGAAATTTCTTCCCATGCTTGGTATGGTATGTGACAGATATCAGCAACTTGAGGATAGTTCATGGTGGTGGATTAATTTCCAGTAATTGAATTGAAGGTAGCTGTTTATGCACTTCTTTGGGTGTGCAGAATGCTCTAATATGTTTTTATGTTTTGAGAATTTTATAGATGCATGCAATGTATTTTGAACATACTCACCCCTCAGTTCTCTCCTTTACTCATCCCAAATCCAACTCCTACACTTCATGTATCGCTTCAACTTCATATCCTTTTCTTTTCCTATAACCCATGACCATTTTATGTTGCTCATATACTTGTGGGTGGGGACATCCAGTAGAGCATGATCAACCAGCCAGGCCCACACCTTTAAAGAAAACTTTCTGTCCCTCCATTAGCAGTCAATAGCTTCCTGGCTACTGATGAGGATTTTTGAGCCCCTTCACACTCCATGCTGGAATGCTCACTGGATTAACCTTGTCCAGGAACTCACAGCTGCTGTGATTTCACGAGGGCAATGGTTCTGTCATCTGTCATGTCTAGAAGACACTGTTTCATTTTGGTCAACATTGATTTATCATTCTTAAGATCTTTCTTTCCCCTCTCCACAGTGGTCCCTGAGCCTTGCAGGGAGGGTGTAAATGGATGCACCTTTTGGTGGATGCTCTACAGACACTTATTCTCTGATTTTTCAGAATATTTCATCTTGGAAAGCAACTCTCTGATGAAAGAAACTATCCAGAAGAAGAAGCTCGCCAAGTCAGAAATCAGAATCCTTCATGTAGATGACTATGGTAAAATTTGGCACATGCTGCATCCTGCAAGAATAGCTTTCTCTGAATCTTACACTTTTACATTTAAATGAGTCTCCATCTTTAATATTTTGCTCTTTCTTTAAAAGAACTTCCTTTACAGTTGTCCTTTCCCAAAGATTTTGTGGAGAAAAACCAGTATGCTCTTCTTTTAATAATGTAAGTATTTAATTTTTTTATTGAAATACATAGATCTAAAGATTTCATAACTATGTTCTTGTGCCTCAGACGGCAGATTTATTAAATGAACAAAAGAGTTATTCTTACCTAACTACTGTCCTGGTTTCACTTCTTTTGTTGGGGTAAAATATCTTGAGGAAAGCAACCTATGGAGGAAAGGGTTTATTTGGGTAGTAAGTTCAAATTACAGCCCTCATTGTGAAGAGTCAAGTTAGATATTTCAAACAGCTACTTGTTTCACATCCAAAGTCAAAAGCAAGAGATGCATTCATCATATGTTTGTTTGCTTAACTGTGCTCTGCTGAATTTTTCCACTATTATTCAGTTCAAGACTACCTGCCCAGGGAATGCTACTGCCCACAGTGGAATGAGTCTTCCCACATCAATCAACAGTGCTATCCCTTACAGACATATCCAGAGGCCAATATGATTTAGAAAATTGCTCTTCCAAAGTGATTCTAGTTTGTTTCAAGTAGGTAGATAAAAACTCTATACCACAACTAGGAAGGCTATCAACTATATGGAATCCTCATGGAGACCATCACTGAATAGTGCCTGAGATTGTTCAAATTTTTGGTACATCTTTAACCATGTAATTAATCTGATACTGTCACTGAAAATAGTGTCATCAGGTATCTTGGTTTGTGTATGTCTGCTTAGTAATTATTGAAGCATTGTGCTCTTGGGCAGTATTTTTGCAACAACAAACAAACTTTTTTTTCATTTTTAAACAAAAAAAAAAGTTTTGTATTTGTTACCCTTTCACTTCATATCCCTTACCTTGTTATCAAAGAAAGTAAGTCTGTGCTTAAGAAACCTGAGGTTTGTAATGTTGTGCCTTAGATCTTAATTTACTCATACTTTTTATAATATCAGGAAATATGGACTTCAGCATAGTGACCATAACATCTCATAGTAACTGATACTCATTGAGCCTTGAATATCTAAGGCTCTGATTTGCTATGAAACCTGGTAGCATATTGATCCACAATGCATTATGCTATCCAGAATTTTGTTCAGGACATTAGTAGGCATGTGAAAATATGAAAGTGTCTTGTGTTTACTTGATTTCAGGATGATTACTCTAAAGTTTAGTCTGCTTTTGTTCCAAGTCTAGTTTGCCATTAACTATCTATGATTCTTTAGAAAAGTGACCTAACTCCAACATAATAATTCTGCCTATGATATGCCACCTTTATGGGTTAAATTAAATGAATCACACATTTTGTTTCATGTCTCCATTGTGTTCCCCCTAATATATATGATTCATAGTCTTGGAGTGATGGTTTGTACCAACTGTATTTAGATATTTTAATTATGTAACTAATATGTCACTGTGTGTGTGGGTAGGTCAGTCAGAGGTCACTATCAGTCAATGTCAGCTGTCTTCCTTAATTTTTTTCTTTTTTGGTGGAGGCAGAGTCTCTCATGTGCCAGGAACTTGCCAAGCAGACTAGGCTGTCTGAGCAGGTAGCCTCAGGGATCCACATCTCTCTACCTTCTGACTCTGGGATAACAATTGTGTACTATCTTCACACTGGGGATATTTTGTAGAGATTTGAGAGATCTAGATCAGGTTCAGACAGTTTTTTGACCCTCATATCCAGAGGGATCTGCAATTCTAGTGGTGGCTTCCTAGGTACCTTTCACTTATTCTTTATTAATTCTTTTGCTGCTCTTCCCTTTCACCAGCTCTTGCATATGCATATTACATACTTGAGGGAAATATTAATTGCATGAAAATGAGAAAACTGGAAAATAAAATATTTTTGTCTTAGTCATTGTTATCATAATTTTCCAGGGAGAGACAAAAACAACATCTACCTCTCCTTCTAATATCTCAGAACAAACTTACATTTGATTTCTCCAGTCCTAGGAGGAGCCAATGAATTTATATGCTTACTTACGGTAGTGGGGGAGGGGTTTCACACAAAAGCAAATGTGACTTTTGCCTTAATTACAATTTTTTATTGTTGTGAAGAGACAGCTATGCCATGTAAAGTCTTCTAAGGAAATGCATTTAATTGGGACTGGTTTGCAGTTTCAGAGGCTTAGTCCATCATCATCATGGTGGGGAGCATGGCAGCATGCAGGCAGACAGGGTACTGGGGCTGAGAGTCCTACATCTTGCAGGCAATAGGAAGTTCATTAACAAACTAGGTAGTATTCTGAGCATAGCAGACCACAAAGGCAGTCCCCATGGTAACACACTTCCTCCAATAAGGCCATAACCATCCCCACAAAGCCAGAGCTCTAAATAGTGCCACCTACTATGAGATATGGAACAGATTGCATTCCAAATTCCACAACCTTAAAACAGCCACACTGGAAAGTCTGCTCCCAGCAGGTTTGATGAATTCAGCTGGCAACATGCCCCTCACCATTCTCAACTTATATACTCCAGTCCCTCCCCCAGTCTGTACCAATGCAACTGGAACAGGATGGCATGTAACTGGCCAGTGTGGGTGAATGCTTGGGTGAGTGTCCCATGATCCTCTTATTCTATGAACAGGCCCAACAAAATTGAAAACAATAGCATTTTGACAAGAGGACAATCCCGTATTACAGTCACCTTGTCCTTCAGCAATAGGCATTGTGTTGTCCTTGTTGTCACAAATTCACTAAGAACTAAAGTTTCCTTATGGAAAGGGCCCTAAGATGGTACCCTGACCTTTAAGATGGAAGATAAGGAATGACATTCTATTTGGGGATTGATTCCTTTATTTAGACAGATGCAGAGGCAGTTGTTTGTACTTCCATGCCTACCTGCTGCAAGGATAAGGAACTCACTGTGGAAAGTAGATCAGACCTTTAGGTGGTTTCTGTTTGATGTGGGATGCTAACTTGGTCTTCTTGGCTTCAAAATTTTCCTTTCATCAGGTTGATTCTAACTACCTAGAATGATAACTTTAAATCAAAAAGTTGATGCAAAAATCTGGTGCAGTGGAAAGGACCATTTGAGTCTCCTTTAAGCACAGTAGTAAATATGTTGGCTGAGACTGGCTTCCAATTAGAGCTGTCAGGATTTCCAATCCACTGCTTAATAGTTAAGCTGCTGTTATATTGTAAACAAATTGGGGCTAATAGTATGTCCTTACATATGCACAGTGTGCAACAAATTTTATATGCATATTATTTATACAAAATGAAAGTGTTACCTGGGCATAAATGCTTGCACTTAGTGTTTAATAAATTCTAAGTATAAGCATAATGGTTTAATAAATTGTATAAAAACATAATGTTATCTGGGACATAAGCACTTTCAGATAGTACTTAATAGGTTGTAAGTATAATCATACTTTTATTAAAGATAGTTATATTTTACACATTTAAATATAACAGTATAAATATGAGATGTGTGATATAAGACCTATAAATTTATTTAATAGGTGAATCCACCAGATCAGATGAAGTAGTATAGTCAGGCTCATGGAATTTATATTGCTGCAAGCAGGTATTTGATTCTGTCTCCAGTTTCTGCCTTCAGATACTTCTCACATTGTATATTAATCTACTCAATTCCTGACTCCTAGGTTTTAAGGTATCAGTTATCTAAAATTGGGCAAAGCATGTCACATATAATCCAATAATGTATGTTTTAATTTCTATTGATTAACATAATCATTTCTAGAACTTTATGGTAAGACATCTAAATAGACAATGGCAAGCATAAAGGTGTTTTTAATCCCTTTTTTTGCCTATCTAAGATGGATTTAACTTGCCTAATATGATTATCTCTAGTAACTTTTCTGAAAGTGGCCTTAATTCATTTTATTTATAACTGGAAAATCTCACTGCATAGAGAGTGAGAGAAATTGCTTAGAACTGAAGGAGACACTTTTTCCTCCTAGATGTAAACCCTATTTTCTAGTTATGATATGACTTCCCTTTCTAAAACTGTAATAGTTGATTGTGTTTTTCAGTAGTTATGGGTTAAACATTGCTCAGCAGAAAATAGCCAGGTTTCTACTTTTTCAGGCATAGAGGATGACTTGGCATCTTGATTTTTGTTGTTTTGTGCAGTGGGTCTGGTCTACAAAGAGACAGAAATCATTTTTGGCCTGAAGAGCTTGGTGTACAGCTGATTGGGGTGTTAGAAATATAGTTCAGTTCATAAATTGCTTGCATAGGATGCATGAAGCCTGGCTTCCAGCCCCAGTGCTGCATAAACCAGGACTGATCGTACAGGCTGTATCCCCAACAGTCAGGACGGGAAGACCAGAGGATCAGAAATCGAAGGTCACTTCTGATCTACATTTTAAGTTTGAGGCCAGCCTAGGATACAAGAGACACCCCCCCTTTCTCTCTCTCTCTCTCACACACACACAGTATACCAATCAGTCATTCAATCAATCAATAGCATAATTGTCATTGAGGTCATAAGACTGTATTTCTTGCCCTGATCTTTTGATTGATTTTGTTTCCTGGAAGTTTACACTCTTAAAGTTCTGTAACAGTAGATTACCTATCTGAGTACTTCTGTTCAAGGTGACCACTTTGCTTTCTGCTTAACTTTTCTGTCCTTTAGTGTCCCTCCAAGCCCTCTTTCTCTGTTGTTTATCTGCCCTCTGTGAGGACAAATGCTGGGACTTCCACCTGGATGATGTGACCCTACAGCAGCCACCAAAAACTAGCTCCTCTAGATACCAGAAAACACTTGATCACAGCCAAGTACATCTCTTTGATCTTGGCTCAATGTATATTTGCTCACGCTGCCATATTCTTTGCCCAACTGAAAAATGTTCTAGTAATGTTTAAAGACATATTTCTAGATTTTTCTCTGCATGTCCTTGTTTTTGATATGTAACCATAGCAGAGAATAATTAGTGGCACAATTAATAAAATTCCAGAGACAAATACTGTGGTTCAACCAGAAAGCTAGAAAAGCAAAGTAACCTTTACCAAGGATGGGTGACCACAGACTAAGCAGACTAAGCCCCTCTCACTCTAGTGATGGGAATAAAGGCATATGATTCACC